AATCCAAAAGCAGCCTCTGCCTGTGTGCTTTATTTAAAAAAAGATTTGAGAGTACGGCATAAAACTGGACGATGCCACCATGGTTCATGTAGTGATACAAGGTTCTAGCTCACTGCATAATACACCATCTTCTCCCAGCTGGGAGCAGCAGATGCGTCTGTTTTCTGGGGGAAGTGACAGAAAGAAGCTACGACCCAAAGGCTGAAGTGCACCGATGTGTGGGAATGCAGAGGGGTGTCCAGAACACAGCAGAGTTTGAGTGCAGACTAGCTGTAAAGCAGCATCAAAATAAGCTACTGATAGAGCAGGTGAGGCATCTTTCTTCTAGTGTTGGCCCCGTGGCTACTTAGAAAACAGAAAGCATCAGCTGCACAGAGCAGTGCCGTGTGGGAGGCCATACGAGTTCAGTGCTAGCGGTGCCCCGGCAGCGAAACCAGAGCTGGGCTGTGCAAACGTAGCCGGGAGCGGGGCTGTGTGGATGTCAAGGAAAGGTGATGGTGGTCAGCGGAGTTAGTTCCAGGGTCTGGTCTAGCGAAGGGCGTTGCTCCTGGTACTCGGTGGTATGTCCGTTCCTGTGATGGCCGTACTCAAACTTAATCCTCAGCTCACCAATCTTGGACTGGGGTAAAATATCCGGTATCCACTCAATGGTGAAAGGCGTCGGTTCCTTCTGATCGGGTGAGGTGTTGCCTGGGGTAGAAGCAGCAAGAGGAAGCAGTGTTTCAGCTGTATTAGACCAGGGCATGGAGGTTAATGCGATGACCCCAGACAAGGGTCTGGTAAAGCTAGGCTGATAATTAAGGATGAGTATCTGAGGGCAGAGCCGGTCATGTAGCTACGCTGGTACCCAATCAGTGGGCACAACCGAGCTGCCCATGTGGCGTTAATTAAGACGGTTTCCAAAACAACCCCCACAAGCACTGGCTCAAACCACGATTCCTTCTTGCCACGTCTGCCCCAGAATGAAATCCTGCCCCGAGACTGAGTGCCCTGCCCCTTTGCTTTCTTCCAGCCCGGTTAGATCAGCAGCTTTTTGGGCCGGGCCTGCCTTAGGACCTGCCAATACCGCATGGGACACAGTAGGGCCTCGAGGGACTCCCCTGCAGCAAACCCATCACCGTTTGGCAGCTGACGGGTTTTCTCTGAGGTCGTTAACAGGACGATGACACACGATGTGGAGCTGCCCGTATTTGGCACTTGATTTCTTCCAACACCTTTACAAGACAGGAGAGAGCCGCCTCTCCCTGTCCAGGGCTGGGGGTGTAGAGGAGAGGCAAATAGGGTGAAGTTTATCAGCACGAGGCCTGAGCACTGTGGAAATAAGCGGTGGATGGATCTCGTGCTGAGGCTTTGCACGGGTGTGAATTTCACCCTCAGAGTCAGTGGCAGAGCTGGGAAATTGCCCTGTTCTGTTCACTCCCCCGGAAGCACCTGTCCCCGGCCTCTGTGGGGAGTCAGGACACGGGGCTAGATGGACCGACCCAGTCTGGCCAGCAGTAAGGACCCTGGCGACATGCCCCACCCTGTGCTCAGGCCGCTGGAGGACAGGTCTCTCTCTTCTTGCACAACAGGCCCAGAGGTGACAGCCGCGTGGGCTGATTTCACACTTCTCCCCTGTTACGAACTCACCAACTTTGAGGAAGGTTTTGAGCTCCAAGGGCCGGATGATGGGCTGCTTCTCCAGGCGACCGTACGTCTCCGCGATGCTCTCCACCTCCACCTTGGGGCACTTAAACAGCTCGTAGGTCCCATCCCGGTTCTGGATGAAGCTGCGTGTGATTTCTAAGGGCATCTGGCAAGAGAAGCCAGGCACGAAGGATCAGCAGAGCTTTAGTGGTCATCGGCCACCACCAAGTTGTGCGTGGAGCCGGCCCGTGGCCTGCAGCCTCTCGGGAACAAGGCAGAGCTGGGGCATAAGGCCAACATCCTCCACTGACCCAGAGAGCGGAAAATGGGGACTAAGTCCATTGGAGTTTACCCTCCTGCCAGTCATGGAATCCTAGGGCTGCAAGAGTCCTCAGGAGGGATCTACTCCACCCCTTGCTCCAAGCAGGGCCAGCCCCAACTCAACCATCCCAGCCAGGGCCTTGTCAAGCTGGGACTTAAACACCTCTAGGGATGGAGATTCCCCCCTCCCCAGGGAACCCAGCCCAGTGCTTCCCCACCCTCCTAGGGAAATCGTTTTTCCTAATATCCGAAAGACCTCCCACAATGCAACTTGAGCCCATTGCGCCTTGTTCTGCCATCTGCCACCACTGAGAACAGCCTCTCGCCAGCCTCTTTGGAACCCCCCTTCAGGAAGCTGAAGGCTGCTATCAAATCCCCCCTCACTCTTCTCTTCTGCAGACTAAACAAGCCCGAATCCCTCAGCCTCTCCTCATAGGTCATGTGCTCCAGCCCCCTAACCACTTTGGTTGCCCTCCAGTGGACTTTTTCCAATTTTTCCACATCTTTTCTGTACTGGGGAGCCCAGAATTGGACACAATACTCCAGATGTGGCCTCACCAGTGCTGAATAAAGGGGAAAAATCACTTCCCTAGATCTGCTGGCCATGCTCCTCTTAATGCAGCCGAATATGAGTTAGCCTTCTTGGCTACTAGGGCCCACTGACTCATCCACTGTAACCCCAGGGCCTTTCCTGCCAAACTGCTGTTTAGCCAGTCGGTCCCCAGCCTGTAGCAGTGCTTGGGATTCTTCCGGCCCAAGGGCAGGACCCTGCACTCAGCCTTGTCTAGTGCTTCAGAAGAATGAGACACCCCCGCCCCCACTAAAGCCCTGGCTTCTAGTCCATTGACAGAATGGATAGCGGCCTTTCTGGTTCAGTCACGCTGCCGCTGCCGTGAAGCAACTAAGGGCCCAGTTCTGCAAACACTAGAAAAGCTTTGCCAGGATAACTAAACCGGCAGTGCCCCCTAGTGGATATTCAGTTCTATTGCAGATATATTTAAGCCACCTCCCCTTCCCAAATGACTAGTCCTGTAAATCTGCAGATATCCACTCTATCTCCATGGATATCCGCATGCGTGGCTGTGGATGCAGATCTCTGTGGCTCATTTTTGCAGATACATATGCGGATGTGATTTTGTATCCTTGCAGGGCTCTAACAAATGACACAAACTATGTCGGCAAAACACCACTTGCTGGTATAAGCTGAGTCCATGCAGGGGTTTTCAGGCGGCTACGTGGCACAGTCATGGCAACAAAACGTGGCCTCACACGGGCGAGTAGCCCCACTGAACTCAACGTGCCATTCCTCATTCGTGTCTTTGTGGGAGCAGAGTCCAGCTCTGCCCTGTCTCCTCCCCCGCCTGCTGACCAAACAGTGGGCTCCACGCTTGCTCTGTGGAGAGGAACCGGGAGAACAAACAGGCCTTACCTCAGGAGTGTCAAATATTTGCTTGACCTGCAGGATATTGGTAATGTGCCAGGTGTATTTGGAGAAGGTCCCCAAGGGCAGGGCGTCTTTCCGGACAAAAGCTGTGAACGGGAAGAGTGTATTACAGATGCTGGGGCTGTAAGCCCACAGCTGTTCTCTATCCATTGGTAAACTAATCTTGTCACAAGAGGAGGGAGGCTGCTGCAGGGCAGTAGAAAACTGCAATTTAGTTGACACCAAACCAGTTTGCTGGTGATGACACTGGATTTCTGACAACAAAAGGCGTCTGGCAGGAAAATTTGTTTCAAATTGAGATGCGGTCACTTTCGGTTCACTTTGGTCACAATTTTGGAGTGGGCAGATGTTTGGCAAGAGAAACCCCAACGATTTTCACAAACGTTTTATTTTTCCAGCAGCTCTAATCAAGGCTGCTGGGTTCGGTGCCCCGGCTCACTTCAGTGCATGTTCCTGGCAAATCGCTTAACTTCTCTGTGCCTAGAATCCTTGGGCTGGCAGAGAACTCAGGAGTTATCGAGTCCAGCCCCCTGCTCAAAGTAGGACCAACCCCAACGAAACATCCCAGCCAGGGCTTTGTCAAGCAGGGACTTAAACACCTCTAGGGATGGAGATTCCACCCTCTCCCTAGGGAACCCATCCCAGTGCTTCACCACCCGCCTAGGGAAATAGTTTTTCCTAATATCCAACCTGGACCTCCCCCGCTGCAACTTGAGAAAAGATTGGGAAGTAAAAAAATGGGATTTTACTTCCCTAACTGTGCTCAAGGTCCTGCTTTTCAGTCCCATCGCCCTGCCACTTGACTACAGTTCCTGCACTGAACCTTTTGGATGCCTAGAGGCTGGGGGAAACCTTTCCCACCTAGACAAGACCTGCCATTTTGACAGGTGTACCCGCTCTCAGGACACTCGTACTCTAGTGTAAGAGATTTTCTGGTTCAGTTTAAGACTATTCCAAAGCCACACAGCTAAAGCGAAAAAGCTGCTCTTATATCAGCAGACTGTCCACATGGGAGGTTGTATAGCTGTCTGGAGTTACATTCAAGCCTCCGGTTATACTGACCAAGCTTTCCCCCGTACACAAGGCCTTAAGATCATGGCTTCAAACTGGTTAAGCCACCACAGACTTTGAGCAAGTCACTGCCAGAGGGTTCCAGGTCACACGTGCTGTGCAAGCCACAAAGATTTTCAGGAGCCCTGTGCATAAATCGTAAAGTATTTCCCCTTTTCACCTGATTTACTAGTCTTGTCTAACCAAGGCTGAAGTGGAGGGAAGATTCGAACACAGAGGATGTGCTGCAGACTGCCAGCACAATATCTCCAGGGAGATAAATGACCTTTGCTTATGAGTGAATTTCTCCAACTGGGCCTAGGGATTTTTTGCACGAAAGCAGAGCTACTCCCTGGGATACATGGAGTCTGAACTACGCTACGTCCTGTTGCTACAGCAGGCAGTTACGGTCTGCCACGTAATAATCCACAGCCTCAAGCATCTTAAATGAACATAAGAACAGCCAGACTGGGTCACAGAATCACAGAACACTAGAACTGGAAGGGACCTCGAGAGGTCATCGAGTCCAGTCCCCTGGGTCAGACCAATGGTCCATCCAGCCCAGTGTTGTGTCTGCTGATAGTGATCAATACCAGATGCCCCAGAGGGAGGGAACACAACAGGTAATCCTCATGTGATACCTCTCCTGTCACCCACCTCCAAGGAAACAGCGGCTAGAGACACCATTCCTACCTATCCTGGCTAATAGCCATTGATAGACCTAACCTCCATGAATCTATCTAGCTCTTTTTTGAGCCCTGTTAAAGTTCTAGCCTTCACTGCATCCTCTGGCAAGGAGTTCCACAGATTGACTGTGCACTGAGTGAAGAAAAACTTCCTTGTGTTTATTTTAAATCTGCTGCCTATTAATTACATTTGGTGACCCCTAGGTTTTTATATTGTGGGAATAAGTAAATAACTTTTCCTTATTCACTTTTTTCACATCAGTCATGATTTTATAGACCTCGATCCTATCCCCCCTTAGTCTCCTCTTTTCTAAGCTGAAAAGTCCAAGTCTTTTTAATCTCTGTTAAGGTTGTTAAGGACTAGTTGACTATCTAATAAGCAAATGCCGTACCTGGGCTCCGTGCGGCACTGCTGTTTTGAAACACCATGATCCCGGGCTCAGCTGTGCGGTGCTGCCCCTTTGAAACGTCGCCACAGCATTTCAAAACGGCAGCGCTGTGTGGAGCCCAGGGTCAGCTGGCCCTGGGTTCTGGGGAAATGTTGCACAGAGCCTGGGGTGGGCTCCGCGTGGCATTTCGAAGCGGCAGCGCAGCATGGAGCCGGAGTCAGCGGGGGACTCTGGGATTATTTTTTCCAATGTGCATTACTTTACATTTATTAATATTACATTTTATTTGACATTTTGTTGCCCAATCATTTCGTTTGGTGAGAGTGGCCATCCCAATTTGCGGACTGACTCCAGCAACAGGCCAAGTGGGCTGGGCCTTACGTCTGAATGAACTGTGGCCTGATTACAGGGTCCCAGTGAGTTTGTGTGACAACCTTTCACCTTCCCCACATGCTGCCCAGTCCTGTGCTCCACTCCTGAGCCGGAGTGAGCACCACAGCCAGGAGGAAGGGAGCTGGCGTCTGTCTCTGTGGTTCATTCACTCTTTAACCTCCATGCTGGGGCTGACTGCAAAGGCGTCACTTAGCGCCTAGACCAGTGTGGGTGCTCGGGTGGCCACCAGGAGAGATTCAAGTGCCGCCCAGCTGATTAGCTGAGTGCCCCCAGCCAGCAGCAGGAGTTTCTACTGGTGGTGCACATCCTCACATGCCTTGGTCACATAATACATTTATTCCGCACGTGGGTGGCAAAAATTAGAGTGAACATTGGCCTAGAGGTTGATGGATGCTACTGAGCTGCACAGACACTCGTCCACTGGGAACCAGACAAGCGGCTCATTTTACTGACATCAGGTACAGTCACCACGAGTGACTTTTGTTTCCTGCAGACCTAAGAGAAGCGACCCAGACTCTATATCCCATCACCCATCCCTAGCAATTGTAGCCTTCTGGCTGCCAGAGACTGTGGCCTAAAGACTGGCCCCTTCATTTTCTGTGTAACCTGAAGGAAGCGCCATGCACTGCAGCATGGCCAATCTCAGACCCCCGGCCTCACCCACAGCTTTTATACCTCACGCTCCTAAAAACACTCCGCTGGTCAGACTTGGGCATGGAAACCATCGGAGATTCCCCAGTGGGCTGCTTGCCAAAGCTGTGCACTTCTGCACTCAGACCTCGTACCTGTAGCGGAATTAGGCAGCCGTTTCTTTGTGCTTCCGATGGAAATCCTCTGCTGCAGGGCGTCGAAGAAAGACTGAGGTATGTGGAACACCAAGGGCTCTGGTTTGCCTGCACGTTAAACCAAGAGGGACTCAGAGGAGGGAGAAAAGAAGCAGTCTGACAGAAAAGGGCGGTCTGAGACGTTCATAAATAGCCTTAAGTGCTGCTACGAGGATTGGGTTTCACTTGGACAAGAGGCACAAGCTAAGCAGGGCTGGGCTCAGTCGGTAACTGCCTGGCAGACCTCCACAGGTAACAGTGGGTGCTGCCGGAAGGAATGTCCCCTCTGCGACAGGACCCAACCAGTGTCCCACCATGGAAAGGACCAAATTTCTACCTGCGCAGTGACATTTTGCCTACATACCCTGCCCCTGCCATTTCAACGGGCTACGAGGTTCTTGCCCTAAATGGCTGAATAGCCGGGGTGGGAACCCTTTTGGGTTGGGGGCTGCTGACCCACAGAAATATCAGTTCTGAAAAGACGAAAGACACTTTCCTCTTCCCCTCAGACACCAGAGCCTCGGGGGGCCCAGGCTCGTGGAGTTTGTGTGCTCCAGCCTGCGGAGGGATGGCGGGGGGACTGGAGTGCCAGTGCAGGCTCCCCAGTGCTGGGGGGAGCCCTGGGCACCGGGGGCCACATACAGCCCCCAAGCCCCACCCTTGCTGCATAGTACTGTGTGCCGTTAAATGAGCTGCCGTGTCCACTTTCAGAAGAGGGTGAAGTAGGAAGATCTCCAGCTCATGCAAATCAGCACAGCCCCTGATTTCAGAGTGTACACGGAGGATCAGCAAACGGGCCGCACTTTATAGCCCATTGGTAAAGAGGCCCAGTGGCTAACAGACGTAACAACCAGTTAATCAATGGCTGTGGAGCCCAAAAAGTTGCTTATAATCAACTACAACATCTTCTACTCCTGGGCTTTTACACCCCTCGGTGGCACCGTCCCCCCATCACGGCAGCATGCTTAGAACATTATGGACCAGCCCCCGGACTCAGCGGAAACAGCAAAGGGTTGGAAGGACGCGGAGCCCTGTGTGAACGAGCTGCTCCGCGCTCAAGGGAGAAGCTAGCATTAGCCTTTCCTGGAGCATCCCCAGAATAGGGCAGCCATGGAAACGTGCAGCCTACGCACGATGTGCCACTGCGGGAGATTTGTGTAAAAAGGCAGAACTCCTGCCGGTAGGAGGAAGTGATTCAGCCAGCGCTTTGTCTCATAAAAATTGCACCCAGGCGGATCGTTCACCCAACGCCACCCAGACCTTTCGGGGGCAAGGCCGGCATTCCCCACGCCCACATCCCGAGTCCTGGGAAATGCTTTGTTGCCAACGGTCCGAACGTTTATGCCCCCAATTCAGGGTTGATTATACTGCTCCTGGGGCTGCCCCGCCGCCCTGCACAAGCACGAACGCCTCCCTGGTGCAGAGTGTATCCCCATGGGGACAGGGCCGAGGACAGCGAGGCTGGATGGTGCTTTGGCCCAGCTCCACCTGCCCCGGTGTAGGGGAATCGCTAAGGGCCGCAGCTTTCCTTGTTCCAGACGCACCTCCCAGAGCAGGAGGGGAGCCGGGAAGGAGCTTTGGGTAGGAGTCTCCATTGCAGAATGAATCCTGGGGCACCACAGCCTAAAGACTCAGTCTAGCCTTCAAGGCAAAACCCATCCCGGTTCACAAAGCCTCATGCAATGCCTCCGGCCATGTGGGAGTTTACTCCAGTGGTTCCCAGCTGGGGGTCTGGTACCTAGACCAGTGTTTCTCAACCTGGGAGGTTGGGAGTTCCGGGGGGAGGGATCACAGGGTAGGTTTAGGGGTGTCAGAAACGCAGGGCCGGCATTAAGGGGTGGCCCTTGTGCCACAGAGCCCACGGGAAGCTGAGTTTGATGCGTCTGCCCTGGGCAGTGGGGGTCAGGCCTCAGACAAGGCTCAGAAGTGAGAAACAGACCGGTGTAAATACCGTATTTATGTACCCCTTGATTTATTTTAAATTCTGTGGTCACTAGGAAAACGCCATTTCCAGTGCCAGTGTGCTGGGGAACCACGGGGCATCCTGTGGCACCGTCCAGACTAACAGATCTGTCTGACAGCGCCCTGAGCCTTCTGTAGTTTGGGGTCCAATTTTGCAAGCAAGTCGCTTTAATGTGAGGTGAAAGTTGAGGTAGGCAAGACAAATCAGGCTCCCGAGAGGGGCACAGGAGTCCAGAATCCTGGTTTACAAGGAAAATCAAGGCTGAAGGAATTGCAAGAAACGCCTGCCCCACCCAGCCACATGCTGTTCTCACTTTGACCCAGGAGAGATTTAAAGCTGATCACAACTTATGCTGCCTAGCTTAGAATAACCAAGACACGATTCCAGGTGGCTCCCAGACAACACTTACCATCGAACTGGTAATGCATGGTTTGATGGATACGTTCGGTGACACTGGCCAGCCATTCTTGGAAAGACAAGGTCACCTGTGACTCATCCAGCAGCTGATTACAGGCTAAAAGAAAAGGAAACCCGTCATTAAGCACAAGGACTCTCTTTAAACAGAGAGGCTAAGCATTCCTCACTTCCTGGAGGCTGCTCCCAAAGGAAGCAATGAAAGGCCAAGATACATATTGGATTCACACCAGAAGCGCTCCGTGTGTGCATATATATATCCAAGTACATTCAGCATCACAGACAATTTCCAAAAGATTTAGGCCTCATGCCCTTCACTAAACACAAAGCAGGAATATAGGCTGCAGAGTATAAGGGTACGTCTACACTACATGCCTCCGTCGACGGAGCCATGTAGATTTGTGTATTCGAAAAAAGGAAATGAAGCGGTGATTAAAATAATCGCCGCTTCATTTACATTTACATGGCTGCTGCGCTGAGCCGACAAACAGCTGATCAGCTGTTTGTCCGCTGAGTGCGCTAGTCTGGACGCTCCCCTGCTGACATCAAAGCCCTTTGTCGGCAGCCCTGGTAAACCTCATCCCATGAGGAATAACGGGGCTGCCGACAAAGGGCTTTGATGTCGGCCGGGGGCAGCC